ATGGAATAAGTATTAAATAAATAAAATTAAACTTTGAATATTATAAAAAAAAAATAGTTAAAAAAAATTGTAGAAATATACTTCAATTTAAATTTATAATTTTAGAATTAAAACTGAAATTAATAAAAAGTATTTAAGTTTTATAATATATTTATTAATTTAAAAATATCTTTATTTAATATAATACTTTATATTATTAATTTAAAGAAGATATTGAGAAAATAAAATTAAATCTTTTAAGTATTATAAAAGTTAACTAAATAAAGATATTAGTTACAGTCAACTTTTGATATAGTGAACTCTTGATATAATGAATTTTTAAAAAAATATAATAAGAATACTCTTGTTATAGTGAATTGGCCAATCAAATCTCTTAAAATCTTCACTATAGCCTTATAGCGAAGTTGAAATCTAGGATATAGAGTTCGTTATATCAAGAGTTGACTGTATTCATAATTTTAACTTATATTATAATTTTAGAATTAAATTAAAATTAATAAAAAATATGCATTTATATTTTATAAATAGTAACTAAAAAAGAATATGATATTGCATATTACTTTTTAGCTTTATTTTATCAAAATGAAAAAGTTTTTGAAAAAATGAAATAAAAACTTTTGAATATTTTAATAAATTAGTTAAAAAAGAAATAAATATATACAATTTCAAATTGAATACTATTAGAAAAATAAACTATTGAAATTAATATTAATATAATAGTATTTCTTAAATTATATAATATTGTTATAATTGAAAATAGATATATAATAATTCAAAATGATTTTGAATTATTATACAAAAATAATAAAGATATTTTTTGTTATTATTGAATTAATGGTAAATTTATATGTTGTGAATTAAGCTATAATTTAAGAAAAGTTTTATATTAATATCAAAAGTAGCAGAAAATGATAATAATATTATGCAATATATTTTAGCTTTATATTATAAAAATGGTAAAGGTATAGAGAAAAATTAAATAAAGCTATTTATTTATTGGTATTAAAAGGTAGTAGAAAATAAAAATAAGTTTGTATAGTATATGATAGATAATTATTATAAATCTGAAAAAGTTGTTAAAAAGATAAACAAAAGCTTTTGAATATTATTAAAAATCCAATAAAAATAGATTTATTAATGAGACATTTTAATTTAGAAATTGTTATAATAAGAAAATTAGAACTGAAATTAATAAAATAAAAGTATAAGTATTATATCATATAGCAGTTGAAGAAGAAAGTAATTCAGTTCAAAATAATCATAGATTATTAAAAAAATTTAATTAAATATTATAAAGTTCAAATAAATTAAAAAAAATACTAATTAATTATTATTATAAATAAGCTTTATAGATTATTTTACAGTTTATAATAAACAATATAATAATTGGATAGGATTGAAATATTGAAGGTATAGAAAAGGATTGAGAAAAAACTATTTATTAGTATCATAAAGCTGTAAAAGTGAAAATAGAATTGCATAATATAAATATAAGCTATTGATATAAAAAGGAATTGGTATTAAAAAAATAAAGCTAAAACTTTTGAATATTATAAAAATATTAGCTAAAATGAAATTGTATGTGCATAATCTCAACTTAGAAAATGTTATAAGTGTGGAATTGAAACTGAAATTAATAAAATAAAAGCACTTGAAAATAGTAATTGGATATAATATTCAATATACTAATAAGGAGTATGTATTTAAATTTTATGAAAATGGTGCTAAAAATGGCTATGAAAAAGGAATTTGTACTGAAGTTAAATATAGAAAAATCATTTAAATTATATAAAGAAGCAGCTGAAAAGGCTGAAATAATTATTTGAATTCTATGTTTAAACTTAGATAATATTATTATGAAAAAGGAATTGAAACAGAAATTAATGCTAAACAGCATCGATTTATACAATTAAGTAACAGAATATGGTGAGATCCGGTTAGCGCTAGCGTCATAGATTTTTTTTTTTAAAAAAAATTTTTATAATGCATTGTGTAATTTGAACAAATTTTGACTCGATCCATAGTTTTTTTACGATTGCGAGTATTTAATTAGTATATAAGAATATTTTAAGAAGTTTATTTTATTTTAATATTAATATTAATATTATTATTATTATTATTAACAACATACTAAAATTCTTGTGGTTAAAATACTTTAAAATTCTTTTTGTCGGAATTTAAATAATTAAAATGAAACACAAGTGAAACTACTTGCTTCATGACCGATTAAAGACGTATTAATATTTGTATCTAATGTATTGTTTTGGTTTTAAAGATTAAAGCTCAGAATGACTATTTAGTCAAGTAATTATAGAAATAAAGTTCAATTTGAAACCATTTTATAACGATGTAGTGTTAAGGTTTATCCGAAATTCCGCTTATGCATAAAATGGTAGATAATCCGGATGTAGCTTCAATAATTATGCATCATCGGGTGATTATCAAGATTCAAATTGCCGAATGCATCACGTAATTTCGACACCATTACTTGTATGAAAACTCCAATACACTTTGGAGTTAACTCAATCCTAACCGACCAATTTAAGTATAAAGTTGCGAATTTATAATACATAAAAAAAAAAAAAAAATTTTTTTGATTACCTTAACCAAAAGATGTTAGTAAAACGAATGATAAAAATTGCATTTAAATGGAAATTGTTTATTGTACAGGGAGCTCAAAATCACAATATCAATAATTAATATATATAATATCTTGTTGATATTGAAACATTTTATATTAATAAGCTAACATGAAAATTTCAAAAAAGTTACGGACAACTAATTAGGAACTTAATCCTTTTCATGGGTTGCATTAATCTCGCTAAAAAACTCGTGGTGAATAATAAGTCACAATAAATTGCATGCAATTTATTAAATGAACAAGAATTTTATGTCAGGGTCCAATCAAATATAAATATAAGAAAAATCATCAAAATGTTGAGGTTACTTATTATAAAATACGTGTAACCAGAGCTTGCGTTATGATTAATAGTCTCATTTGACTTTGATGTTACATCAGGAGTCGGAGATGGCTTAAATGGCAACGGTTTATACGGATTTGGGTTTTCAGCTGTAGCATATCTATCAATTTGAAGCGAAAATAAGAATTAAGATTTCATTTCACCATAAACGGTCAATTTAGCGTTCGCTTACCCGAAAGTTTCCATCATTAATTTTAATCTAGGTCCTATCGGACCACCAGAATAATTCCCGCCATTTAATACCATTTGTTTGGCATTATTCCCATCAACTGATCTATAAGTCATTAAAAAATCGTTCGTATTTATATATGTTTTAAAATCAACGTGAATCAAACTTGTTCCTTGTTCAAAAGTAGGCATAGAAGTTTCTAAAATAAAAGCATCGGAGAGAAAATTTCTTGAATTCCTTGGTAATAGACCAAGAGAATTTGGTGTGGTAGCAAGTACCAATAATTCTTGAGCGAATTTAAATTGAGGTGACTTTATAAACACATCGTTAAAAACGCTTGATTTATGATCATTAAAGAATGTGTTTAATTGTCGAGTGAATAGGGATATTTGAGTACCATTGGAAAGTAATATTGTGTACTTGTCCATCATAAATTCAACAAAGGATGAATTCGTATTTAATAAATTATTTCTAGGAACGCTCCCATCAGGATTTATTAATGCTGTCGTTGGGATTAATGCTATTGGATTTATTTGATATCCCATCCATCTGTTATAAAATCCTAAACCGTGAATCAATTCATGACAAATTGTCCAATAAATATCTTCTTGATCAGGATTTATTTTTATGGAATCTTGTTCAAACCAAAAATTCGATACCGAATTAAATTCCGCGTTGATATCAAATTCATTATATTTTGGAGCATTAGGAAATTTGAATTGTTTCACTAATGATTGTGGATACAATCGAGTCAACCCATCATCATCTTGTAATGCGTAAAATTGTGATGGGTACGCCGCTCCTGATAAATCCCCGCACAAATTTGCTGGATACACTGTGCAAAAATCATAATAACTGACGTTCACTTTAATAGGTGTATTGAATATAAATGTTGACGTGATCAAGTTTGCCGCCTTCTTAAATTCCCCAAGTACCTTATCACAAGTTACTTTATCACCAATCTCACAATTTAATTGTACTTGAAACATTTCTTCCGACGCTTCTTGATGTGATGACGTATCCGTGACATCTAAGCCGGAATTCCAATTACATTCCACAATTTCTAATGATGCATAGATATTATTCGGGTGATGAAAACATTGTGCCGAAATCGATGAAATGAGTAAAAATATAATAAAGGCTATTTTTATTAGTTGCATGTTTATTATTTATTATTATAGATATATATATATACATACTGTATATATTCTTTTATATATTCATTTTTTTTTAAAAATTTTTTTTGTTTTGTTTTATATTATTATAATATATATATATGGATTATTAAAATTAAAGAGGCTAATTTATGGAATATACATTTTATTTCGATCCCGTTCTTACATGCATAAATAATTTATTTGTATCAGAAACGACGACGCACAAAAAAAAAAAAAAAAATTAAAATTAAAATCGTATATTGAAAAAAAACCAAAAACAAAAAAAACTTCTAACCTCAATCAAATTATATTACTACCGGAATTTGGCTTCCGTTACTATTTACTTTACATGGTCATGCGAAAGGGCTTGGCGGGAAGTTATCTAATTAAAATGAACACCAATACTTTTGCACTGATCGTCAGTTCAAAAATGGAAACTTTTGCATCATTTACCTTTTTTACTCGATTCGTTACACAACGAACCCAATGAACCTTAAAAGGTACCGGTTTTAGACTAGAATGTGAATCTTTGTTTTTTCTCTTGTAATTAATATCCTTTTATTTATTAAATATAATTAGTTGTATTATAAAATATCTAATATTTAATTATTATTATTATTATTTATGATGATGCAACAAACATATGATTCTGCATCAATAGAAGATGAGATTATAGAACTTGTTGATTCATTGATGACGCAAGATCCTTACAATCTCGATGTAAAACTGCCGCAACATGAATTAGAATTAGTCGAAGGTATGATGACTTTTTTCATCTAAATATACAAGAAAATAATATTAAACTTGTGTAAATTTGGTTTTAAAAAAAAAAAGAGTCATATAAGGAAACTATTCCAAAACTTGATTATGGAACTTGCATGAAGTGTGAACAGCTGAGAAGTCATTATCGATGGTGTCAGCGATGTGTGCGTACACAATGTTATAAAAATTTCGCAAATTGGACTAGCGATAATGAAGAAATTGACAAATTTCTAAAATTTTCACAATTAAATTCCATAAGTCCTCAAACCTTTCTTGAATGGATTCCTTATGAAAAACTTGAAAGAATAAAACAAGTAAGTATCACATCTTATAAAGCGACAAGAAGCACCGTATATTCGGCTGATTGGATGGATGGACCAAGAATTGTGTGGGATCAGAAAATTGAAGAATATAAAAGGTCCAAAATCCGGGTACTGGTCAAACTGTACGATAAAGATCAGGTCAACGAAATTTTAAATGAGGTAATCTTTTTTTTTTTTAAAAAAAAAAAAAAAAAAAAAAATGTATTTGATTGCGAGCGTTTTTCAAATTAAATTTTTATGTTTTCTTTAGCTTAGAATATATTTAGATTGTTGTACACAAGATAGTTCTTTATTAATTCAATTTTACGGAATATCTAAACATCCTGAAAACAATGAATATTTTATTGTGAGGCAATATGCTCAGTGTGGTTCATTACAAGATTACATTTTACAAAATTTTTACAGGTTGGACTGGGAAATCAAATTGCATTTACTTTTCTATCTTGCCGAGGACTTAAAAGCTTTACATAACGCGGGATACGTACAATGGAATTTTCATCCGGCTAATATTTTAGTACTCGATAACAGCTTGTGCGCAATGGGAACATTTTCAAACTGTCGTAAAGCTTCTTCATCGCCAGACGATGTAGACGTGGTATTTGAATGGAGATCATATTTATCGCCAGAGTATATACAAAACAAATATCATACCAAAGCAAGTAACGTATATACATTTGGAATGATAATGTATACGGTTGGAACTGGACAGATTCCTTTTGAACCGTTTAAACGATTTGAAGATAATCAATTCTTGGCTATTAATATTTGCCAGGGAGTTCGTCCAAACATTTCGGATGATGTACCAAGATGTTTCGGGGAATTAATCAAAGATTGCTGGTGTCCTAACCCAGATTCACGTCCTGATATCTCTCAAGTATATTCTTCTTTATTACAATGGTGGTCATCTGTTTATCATAATAAATGTCTAACTCCAATAAGTTTAGAATTTCTTGCTTCAGATAATAGGAACTATTCTAAATCAGAATTTCAGGAAATCATTCGAAAGCCGGATATCATAAGAACAAAGGACATAGTTTTTTCGGTGAAAGATCAATTAGAACCATTAGAATTGATTAATCTTTTAGTAGACAATTATTTTGTAAAATTCATTAAAAAAGATGAATTGACATCAATGGAACAACTCGATGATGGTCATTTTGGAACCATCTCAAAAACCATTTGGAAAAAAACTAACAACGTGGTGGCTTGTAAGAGGATAAAAGACATCAAATCAATTAACAATAAGCCCATCGAAGCCTTTCTTCATGAATTAAGCATGCATAGAAGACTTGATTTTTGCCCAAGAATTATACGTATTTTGGGCATAAGTTTTGGTAAGTTTGTTAAAGATCTCATTAGACTAGGAATGTACAACAGAATACTTATTTGTGATGCAATATGCTGATGGTGGAAATTTACGTGATTACCTTGATAAACATTTTTCATCATTAACATGGGATGATAGGATTAGATTTGCCTATCAAATTACTGAGGGAATCAAATATCTGCATGGAGAAAATATTCTTCATCGAGATTTACATTGTAAAAACATAGTAATACATCAGGACGAAGCGAAAATAATTGATCTTGGTTTTGCAAAAAGTACGGATACTGAAACAAATGTTCATTCGGAAGTTTTTGGAGTGCTTCCATATATTGATCCCAAACTTTTAGAAAATCCTTCTTATAAGCATGATAATAAGTCTGATATTTATAGTTTAGGTGTGTTGATGTGGGAACTATCCAGTGGTAGGCCTCCTTTTGCCAATGTACATCCATCCGTTTTGCCATCTCATTTAATAAGTGGAGTTAGGGAAAGTCCAATTCCTGAAACACCTCAGGAATATCAGGAATTGTATGAATTATGTTGGGATCGGGAACCGAATAAAAGACCGACCATTAAACAAGTCTTCAAGGAATTGGAAAAACTTTTAAATATTCAAAATGATGCCTACTATGACGATGATATTCAGTCAATCATACGAGGTAGGCAATTAAAGTTTAGAATCTATTCTTATAACAAATGGTTAATTTAAAATTTTTTATATTTTAGGTGATTTAAAGGTTGATAATCATCCTCCTACAAATACTAGTGATCATTTTGAAGGTATAATATATTTAATATATATGGTCATTGTAATTTTAATTATCTACATGATTTGCTAACCTTAAATCTTTGAATCCATATAGATTCATCAATATGTGACCTAACTATAGATACACACATCGTTCGTAATATATTTATGAAGAACCAATAATTTGACATCTAGCAACGTTCTTTATTAGACAATAGTAATCATTAGGAAAAAAAAATTATATATATACTAAATAAAAGGATGAAATATTATTCTATATATGAAAAGCCTATTTTACAGTAGATTTGTAAATTAAATTTGAAATTATAAAAAAAAAAATACTAAATATTTAAATATTTAAATATTTGCAAAAATAAATTGATCATTGAAAAAGAAAAAATCTTATTTGGAAGATTGACTCAATAAGAGATCCAGATTTTCCTGAGCTTCTTCACACCCATTTCCGGCAGCCTTCTTATACCAATAGATCGCTTTATCCAAATCTTTTTCTACACCTTGACCTTTTTCATAGGCAACGCCAACACTTTTTTGTGCGTCACCATATTCCTGTTGCGCTGATT